TTTTTTTATTTTTTATATTCTAAATTATTATCAATAATTGATCAGATTGTGGGGCTGTAATGAACCCAACTCAGCAAACCCGAATCAAACTCCTATTATTTGTACCTTCACATAAATTTCTATAAGGGCAGCATCTGCATCATACTTGCGTGTCAAACTTTTTTTTTTTTTTTTTTTTTTTTTGTTTTTGTCCTTATTCAATATTTTATATTATAGAAAAAAACTATTTCGTACATTTGAAATTTCAGTGAAATTTGGTATTTTTTAATTTTAAAATAATATTCATAAAAATATAATTTTTCAGCAATATAAATATTTTTATTTTTGTTTTTCATCACATTTTACTCTTGTCCTTTTCTTAAGGAAAAATAAAAATAATAAATGAGCATCAACTTGAAAGCTGCAATAATGTTCTAAAGTTTGGTGGGAAACGGTTTAAGACACGTGCAATATTACATCCATCTTCTTCTTCTTCATTTTGCTGTCAAACTATTTGGGAGATGCTAATGTCCAATTAAATCATTCCGTCGAATTTTATAATCAACTATCCTCGACCGTGATATGATGATCTAACGGTTACAAACTCCAATGAAATGATTCCATAATAGAACTGTAACATCTCCTTTAGATTAGATAGTCACTAATTGTGTCGTGAAGCAATTGTGGAAAATGAAAATACTATTTACGCATTTAAATAATACGCATCATTTTAAAAAGTAAGATATGTATTATAAACAAAAGTACCACATATTTTATATTAAATAAAGAATATTTAGGTTTAACAGTTAAATTGTTTTATACAAAAATTTGTTTTAAATAATCATTAAATAAACATTTTGTTTTATAATTATTATTTACCTAATGTGACGTGTCAACCGTCAAATATTTTCGCATCCACACACAAGAACTTGAGCTACATAGATAGTATAAAATTTGAGAGATTTTACGGTCTCGTTACAAAACTACTTTATCAGAATTTCTAATCGTTAAATTAACTATCCACGAAGGTTACATGATAATTTAACGGTTATAAATTAGACAGAATGATTTCATAAACGTGTTCCTTTTTCCACTAAACCTAACTTATTCTAAAATCAGCTCCGATACTTAAAAAAAAAAGAAGGATATAAGTGGAATAAAAAAAAATAAAACAACAATAAAGAGAATCAGTATCGCAACAATAATAGATAAAGAACCGTATTCAAATTCCACGCCGACTATCTTCACGGCCTGCGCCTAAATCGCTCGGTAGAGGGGTAAATTCGTCATTAAAAATGTAAGCGGCAGCATTAAGCGGAGGGCATAACAGTAATTATAAAAGACACGCGTCGAGCACATCTTCTACTCCGCTCAGCTCCTTAACGTTCCCCTATAAAAGGGAACCCCACCACCACACATTTTCCCATCAATCAGCTCCTCCACGCATCGAAATCTGATTTTTTTCTCTCTATAAATTGTATCTGAATTCATACGTTTGATCTTCGATCGAGAGCTATCAATTCAAAATTAGGGTTTATCTTAATCTTCCTTTCCAACTGCCCCCAATTTTCGTTTGGATCTGTAAGTTTGGATCGTTAATTTATTTATTTGTTTAATCTCTATCAATTTCGTATGTTTTGGTTTCTCGTTTGTGTGGATGATATGTTTTGTTTGTTTGGTTTTTGTAGGATTTGATTGTCGAATCTTTTATTCAGAAGAAGTAAATCGAGATTCGTCGTATAATTTCAATTCATGTAAGTAACTGCGATCTCATTTTTAATATGTGTTGTTTGTTTTCTGGCAAGCAAACATGTATGAATGTCTCGTCTGGAAGCTGGATAATTTGACGTATTTGATGCTCTTATGCTGTTTGATGATAATTGATGTTGTTGTTTGTAACCGGTAGATCAACTATCCACAACGGTTACATGATGATCTAACACGGTTACATGATGATCTAACGGTTACAAATCCCAACGGAATGGTTCCGTAATGGGACTATAGCATTTCCCAGTTTTTTGTCTGATTGTTTCTGTTCAATTCTATTGTGACCCTCCTCCTAGGTGGTAAGATTGAGTAATTTATGTGGCCAAAAATATTAATTGCAGATTTTTGTTATTTGAAAAATCTTCATGCGTTGATTTTAGTTAGACATTAATGGTAAATTATTTAGGGGCATAGGCATGGATATTAAATTTTGGGAAGATGAAACTTAGTGTACAAGGAAATTTTGTTCCTGTCAATTTCTCAGATATAGGAAATAGTTTAGAATAAGAACATATGAAAAGGGATGGATTTGTGTATGTGATTCTTGTTGTGAATATCAGGGCTGCTGCTTCTCTGTATCTCAGTTAAATTTCCTCCTCTAAATCTAACTGTGTTTTATGGATCTTGTTTGGTTCTCTTCAGAACACAGGAAATAATTGAATGTTCTAATGGAGTCAAAGGGTGGGAAAAAGAAGTCCAGTAGTAGTAAATGCCTATTCTACGAAGCTCCCCTCGGATACAGCATTGAAGACGTTCGACCACACGGTGGAATCAAGAAATTCAGATCTGCTGCGTACTCCAACGTGAGTTTTAATGATTCGGCTTTCCTCTCTTATTGTTTACTCTTGCCTGTTCATTCATGTCATATCTGCTTTAACCATTGTGCAAATTCTAATAAGTGCATTTCAATCTTTTTTGCAGTGCGCCCGCAAGCCATCCTGAGATTCCTAAAGCTTTTCTCATAACCACACTCAAAGTGGTTCCGAATAATTGTTTCCCAACCTTTAAAATAATCTGCTCCTCTTTGTTTTTATCTTTCCTTTCCTCTCCCCCCATCCTTGTTATTTCTGTACTCACTTCACAACTCATCTCGAGTCTTTCAAATTCAAATGGCTGTGCCATCCTCAGCAATCGGATTCGAAGGTTATGAAAAAAGGCTTGAGATTTCATTTTTCGAGCCTGGACTCTTTGCTGACCCCGCAGGACGGGGCCTTCGGGCTCTTTCGAAAGCCCAACTTGATGAAATCTTGGACCCAGCACAATGCACCATTGTCTCCTTCTTGAATAATGACGAAGTTGATTCCTATGTATTGTCCGAGTCAAGCCTCTTTGTCTATCCGTACAAGATTATACTGAAAACTTGTGGTACCACTAAACTGCTGCTCTCGATCCCACCAGTGCTCAAATTGGCAGATACACTCGGACTCACCGTGAGTTCCGTGAGATACACGCGCGGGAGCTTCATTTTCCCCGGCGCTCAACCTTTCCCCCACCGGAGCTTTTCTGAAGAAGTGACTGTGCTTGATGGCCACTTCACGAAACTGGGCTTAAGCAGCAAAGCCTTTGTGATGGGTGGGGATGACGAATATGAGAAGTGGCACGTCTACACTGCTTGTGCCGAGCCTAAGCCAATGATGACCAACGATCTTGGTCCCATCTACAGCCTTGAGATGTGCATGACCAATCTGAACCCCAAGAGGGCCTCTGTTTTCTTCAAGAATCAATCTGCCACAGCAAGTATCATGACCGTAAAGTCCGGGATCCGGAAAATCCTTCCCGAATCCGAAATATGCGACTTTGACTTTGACCCCTGCGGTTACTCGATGAACGCGATCGAAGAAGGGGCAGTCTCGACAATTCACGTGACGCCGGAGGATGGGTTCAGCTACGCAAGCTTTGAAGCTGTCGGATATGATTTCAAGAACTCAGGGGATTTGACTCTACTGGTGGAGAGGGTTTTGGCCTGTTTCCAGCCGGCAAAGTTCTCTGTGGCTTTGCATTCTTCTGTTGCTGGGAAAGAGCTCGACTTGGAATTTGCTTTGAACTTTGAGGGGTATAATTGTGGAGATAAGGTCTGTGAAATGACTGGCGATGGCGGGTCAGTGATCTATCGTGGATTTACGAGCGCGGGTGGCTGCTGTGGGTCCCCCAAATCAATTCTGCAGTGCTGCTGGAGTGAGAACGAAGATGAGGGAGGTGAGAAGAAGTGATCTGTTTCGTTCTTGTCATGCTCTCTGAGTTCGCTTCAAGTTGGAGTTGCCCTTACTTTAGTGGCGCATGTTTGGTTGTTCTTTAATTACTAGTACTGGCATTATCTGTTTTAGCGTTGGAGCTGATGTTTGAGGGGTTGGTGAGAATAATAAATTTTGCTCGGCTCTCGATTCGGGTGGAGCAATGTTTTTAATCTATTTTGATGTGTGTTTATATTCAAACTTGTTTTGCCCCTGTTTAATTAATATACACGTTTATGTTTGGTTTGATGGGTTATCATTTTAGTCTGGATGCGGGCGTTTAGTCTAATAATACATTGGTGCTATATTTTAAGATTGATCTGCAGTCTCTTCCTTACCTCTCCTCTTACACAGGATTGTTTCTTTGGCCTGCAATTAACCTTTTGACAAAGGCATCTTTCTATCTGGTATAAGATTTGAGGAAAATGAGTTGCGTGCTGAGCCTTGAGCTCCTTTAAGACTCGTTTAGTGCGTGCGCCTTGAGCTCCTTTAAGACTCGTTTAGTTAATGAGGCAATCTTAGCGTAATATCTTTGAATTTTTAGTTAATTTTGGTCAAATCTTACATTTTATTATTATTATTATTATTATTATTATTATTATTATTAGTACAATACCCGTGCAATGCACGGGGGTTTATTATCTCCGTTCCTTTTAAAAAGCAAATATCTCATACAGTTCAAACTACCAGAAACATCATGTCATTAATAATACAAAGTTTAAGAAAATAAATAAAAAATAATCTATATATTATTGAACACTTTTCTTATATACAATGTTCATGGTTTGATTCGTTGACACATCATCATCGCCACAAATTAAGATTTTCAAATCATTTCTGTTTGCAACACGGGAGACAACAACATATAACTGACCATGACTAAACACTGGTTTCTTAGGGGAAAAATAATTCATGAATAAACAACAAATATGTTAATATAATTTATACAAATATAACATATAAATAATTATATATTTGCAATTTGACAATCTTGGTTTGGCCATGGATAATGATCCTCCATTTTCCTATAGTCGATTTGTAGATGTCAATATTGCTTTCAACTTGATAGTTTGTCAAGACATACTTACCACATTTCTTCAATATCACCGACGAATTTTTGGATATTCACAGGTCGAATTATGCCAGTAATTCGTAATCTCTAAGACAATACATATTAAATTATTAAATAATTTAATAAGCACAATAAAATAACTTTAAATTTAAATTAAATACAGTATGAATGTGTAAACATATTAAATCCGAATCGTGAAATATAATCTCTAGAAAATTCCGGTAATTGCGTACGTCTTCAACTCGTTGGAACATCCTAATTATGTGTAGCTTGATTGGTGACTTATTGGATCTGTGGATATCCTGATGACTCCAAAATTCAAAGGCACGTTGAGATGATGTTGAAAAGCTTCGTAAAAAAAAGTTGTAGTGCGGGATGTGTATGATGTAGAATATATGTTGTTCAAGTTTGTTAATATTTATATAGTAATGATTAACTTTACGATTCTTGTGGATTTTTATGAATGTTTACTGATTTATTGCTTGTACTAATCTTCTTAAGGGACAATACCCGATTTATTTTATTATGAATATCACCGTCTATTCCAATCGGATATCTTTCATATAATAATAATTAGTTGGCAAAATAAAAGATAATTCTTATCTCTTAATATATGGCATAAAATCGATAAGACAATTTGGTAAGCCTCACTATGCGATTTTGTAGCTTTTTTTGTTATTAAAAATGAGATGTTTTATATAATAATGATTAGTTGGCAAAATAAAAGATAATTCTTATCTCTTAATATATGGCAAAATATCGGTAAGAGAATTTGGTAAGCCGATTTATGCGATTTTATAGCTTTTTTTGTTATTAAAATTAGATGTTTTTGAGAAAATAAAAAAGGAATCAACATAAAAACAGAATCAACTAAAAAATCAGCATAATATGAGAGAAATCATCATAATTAGATAACAAAATCCGAAAATTCTTGGAAGGCAATGCACATGCGAACACAAAATTTGCACAGAATCAGCTAAAAATAGTTTAAAATTACTTAATGGAAGGATTGATTTATGATATTCCGTATTTTTATGTTAATTAATAATTAATAATTAATTTAATTTGTGGGACCTTCTTGGTTATTACCTAAAGTAGTAATTATTACTTAAAGTAGTAAGTCAAAGGATTATTTTTTGAAGTCAAACTTACTTTTTTTGTATTTTTCCAACAACCTCTTTATATTATTACTAGTACAGTTCTCGTGCGATGCACGGGGGTTTATTATTCTCGTCCCTTTTAAAAAGCAATTTTTTTTGTTAAAGTTCAAAGTATTTACTAAAGGAAAGATCATGTCAATAATTAATAAATTAATAAATATAATAAAAATAAAATCTATATATTATTGAATATTTCCTCATATACAAACCCTTATGAAATTCAACACGTACTAATAATTTTTTTTTTTTTTGCATGATGATGGTTGGTGAGAATAAACTGGAGCTCAAATGTAAGTCAAATGTAAGCTTTAAATAAGATATTTGGTGGGCTACAACACATTAAGAAAGATATGAATATCATTTATCACATAATTTGTTATTCTTTATTCATAGAACTGTTTGCATCAGCAGATGTATTTACTAAACAATCTCATATATCATATGTGTTTGTTTCATTTCTTTTACCATTTACTACTTGTTTTGACGTTTTCTTTGGACATATCTCTGTTGTTGTGCTTACTCATTTTCCATTGCGATTGAAATGTTATCATTCTGCATCTTTTTACGTTCTTTTTTGAAACCATAGGAATGAAACTTTCATTCCACTGTTGCTCTTCAAAATCAGTTATGAAGTCTCGTGCAACACTCTATATAATATGTAAAACATCAAGTAAGAACATTAATTTGTAAAATTCTGAATCAAAAACATATAATATATAGATGCACGGAAATCTGAATTACCAAACTTAGGACATATCTGGAGCTTTTGTTTAACAAACTCAATGTGAAGATAAATTAAATTTAAATTACACTTACAGTTGAATATGAATGTGAGAACAATACTTGGTATTAGTGACTATCTCTATGAGTTTGTAGTATTAATTGCCCTCTAAATTTCAAACTGTGTTGATCTTCATTCGAAACTGCCACGCATTATCTGAATATGCTTCAGCAAGTCTATTTTGTTTTCATACTTGTTTCAATTATGAATATAAATGTTATTTGAAGTTAAATTTTGTATGAATAGACAGGTGATATGAACAACAGTGAAGAGCAATTTACCTCGGAATATGTGGCATAAAATGATGCATTTAAATTAAATTTAAATTTAAATAATATATTACCTTAGAATCGTGAAAGATAATATCAAGAACATTTCGGGAATTGCGTACGTCTTCAACTCGTTGGAACATCCTAATTATGCGTAACTTGATTGGTGGCTTATTGGATCTTTGGATATTCTTGATGACTCCAAAATTCAAAGGCATTTTGAATGATGTTGTAAAAGTTTCGTGGAAAAAGTGTATTGTGGAATGGATGTTGAATATTTGTTGTTCAAGGTTGGTGATGTGTATGTACCGTAAGCCATGCGTATGTACCGTAAGCCACTCACGGGGATTTAAAAGATATTTACGTCATCTACTAATCTATTTAATTAATTGATAATATCCGATATTTTTTATTATGATATAATAATATCCCGTGAGATCTTATCCGACTTATTTGATTATGCTTATGATGAGTTAAAAAAATATGTGTTTTCGGTTTTGGTAAAACAATAAAAAAATGTGGTAAGTGATTCACATGTGAGGGACGCACGAATATTTTGAAGATTATGTTGCCAAAAAAAATGGAGTTTGTTACAATGAAATTTGGTAAGACAATTTCGATCAACTCTCTTCGAGATTATTTAGTAATTAAAAAATTTGTGAACAAATAAAATCCTACAAAATCAATCAAATATATGCAGATTGATACAAAAAATAAAAAAATAAAAATGAATAATTGCTAAACAAATGTGAAAAACCGTCCAAATCGTCAATTTTGTAGCGGCCCAATAAATCTGTAGTTATTGTGCAAATTTGGTAACAACAATCCCTATACAAAATTAATCAAAATCCCTATACAAAATTAACAAAATCCGATAAATTTGGAAAAGAAATTTCGATCATTATCATCGAGATCTTGTAGTAATTAAAAATTTATGAACAAATAAAATCCCACAAAATCCGGTGACATTGGTTAGTAACAACAATCCCTATATAAAATAAATCAAATCATAGCAATATAGTTAACATAATCCTCTAAATTTGGTAAGGAAATTTCAATTATTATCATTGAGATCTTGTAGTTATTATGAAATTTGTTAACAAATAAAATCCCCCAAAATGTGATAACATTGGTTAACAACATTCAAACTAATTTTAGTAGAAAAGATTTAGGTGATTTATCTTCTTTATTAATTTTATGTTAACGCGTGGGACCCATTGTTATTACTCAAATTAGTAAGTCAAAACATTATTTTTTTAAGTCAAACATACTATTTTTGTATTTTTCCAACAACCTCTTTATATTACTATAGATTATTATAGATTATAGCAGTGTTTTGTGACC